GCAGCCGAGCGCCGGCCGGAGGCCCCCGAAGAGAAGATGCGCTTTAGGCTGCACCTGCACCAAGGACACGGCGCTGTGCGAGGGAGTCAAGGAGATCCCCCGCGATCTGCCCCCGAACCTCATCTCCCTGTAAGCTTTCTCGGGGTGGGGGGAGCGGGGCTTCTCTGAACCTCCCCCTTTTCCTACCTGCCTGTCTACTTTCTTATTGTTTAAATCCCCTGCTTAGAGGCAGCAAAATTGCCAGCAGATCTCCTGGGTTTTACAGGTTGAGCCTGTGTTTTTACCCCTTTCCCACGATCAAGGCTTGGGGTCCGGTGGCCCGAGGAAAGGAGAAAGGGAAGCCCCTCCTGGACACCCCCTTTCCATATGGAGACCAGCTGTGCTCGCCTCCCCCCTTTTAAAAACTGTCCCGAAAGGGCTCTGGCATCAGGCTGAGAATCTGCCACCCCTGGTTTGGCCTAAGTGTGTACTGCAAGGCTGGGCTGGCCTGCAGAGTTGAGGACAACTTGGGGTATCTCTTGGTGGCCAGGGAGTCCTGGATGTGGGTAGTGGGGGGGGGGGCTGAGCTAGCAAGGGGCCACGGAGTGCATGGCTTCCCCTGGGTGAAAGCACCCATCTCTGGTGCAATGATGAAAACCTGGTTAGCAGGGATCTCGCTGGGAAGCAATGGATTTTAACCAAGAGAACACACACACACGCTCCCAAATTCTGCTTGAGGTAGGCTGAAATTCTCCCCTGAGCATCCTCTGTCTTCTACCTAGAGACTCACCTCCTAAAGGCAAGCTACCTTAATGGCTAGTGGCCTCCTCTGCCTTCTTTTTCCCTCACATATGATGGGATATCTAATGGGGCAGCTTCCAGTGCATCTCCCGTCACTGTATCCCTGAAACAACAACCCTGTGAAAGAAGAGAGGCCGAGAAAAAGCAGCTGGCCCAGATTCACCCCGGTCAAGATGAGCAGGAACTTAAGTTTCCCCCATCCAGATCTTAATCAGTACAGCACGCCAGCATCCAAAAATCGAGAAAATATGTCCATGCTTAGAAGGATGGGCATATTGTTGAAACTGAAAGCTGCACACATTCCCTCCCATCGTAATTCCCCCCCCCCAAATTATTGCAAGTCCCCTGAGGAAATTAGATGCAGCTTGGCAACCCCCCTTTGAAACTAAGGATACATGCTCAAGAAAGCTTGCGAGAGAGACATCTCCCTTCCCACAAATGCGCCTCTGGTTGCTGCATAAATTCCTCCAGGTAAAGCTGATCCCAGTGACTGCTCTTTGCCCACCAACACGAAACTGTTGCCACTGCACCCACATTTAGGACTTTGGAATGCCATCCTTGGCTCATTTACTCTTAGCAAGGCTATTCTGGATGGCTCCTGAGAGCCTTCTGGCTACGCGGGGAGGAATCCGGCTGGCCATCGCCCTCGGGGCCAGGCGATGGTGCAGTTGGCTTTGTGGCTTACAACATCTCCCTCTCTCTCTGCAGGTGTCTCATTCGGTCAGGATTCACCGAGATCTTAGAAGGCAGTTTTCAACAGGTGCCGTCCCTCCAGCTGCTGTAAGGATCCTCTTGGTTGTGAGTGTTGTGGCATGTGTCAAAATGTGTGTACATTAGGTGCTCCTCGGTCAGTGTGTATGGTAGAGGAGAACCTGTCTCTGTTTTGCTACCCAACCTCCCGATCGCAGGGTCTTGCCAAGAAATCCTCTGAATGTGACTCCTTTGGTGTAATTGTGCAAATGCATACTATTTTACCTGATTCTTGTTTAAGGAGATGGGCAAGGAAAGGAGTCTTGCCCATTCTCTGGGCAAGGGTGTATACGCTTGCTTTCTTTCCTTTTGACTCACACATTCTTTGAGGGTCTATCAGTTAACCTTGGAAGGTCCCCCGGAGGACCTGGGTGAAGGAAGGTGAGCAGTAGTCATCATTTAAGATGTTCATGGCACGTGACTCTGTTTACCTATATATCTGGGGCCTGCAAGGTTTAGTCTAGGTTGTCCCAACCCGACACCCTTCACTCCTCTAGATGCATTGGTCTGCAGCTCCTCAGATTTCCAATCAGCATACCCTCCCATCACATCTGAATATTGGGAAATAGTGGCGTATTTTCTTTCTAAAGTTACAAGGTTAGGATTAGTTAGCCAAGTAATTTTAATTAATGAGCAGGAGCACCCAATTAAGCCGTTGGCAAATTTATGTATACCTCTGTCTCTACTGATCAGTCTGTGCAGAACAAAAACCCAAACCCTCTGTGTATAATTATAACTGCACCAATGGCATGTTAGGAGCAATCACTCATAGAGGAGCAAAGACGGAGCATGCACTTTTCCAAAGACAATACGCGCTGCTCTGCAAAACAATCACACCATCTAAAGAGCAAAGACTCTCTAGGGCGAATACTTTGACCTGCAGATAAACGGCATGTTTAATCAGTTAATTGTCTGGAGAAGTTTGCTATTTCCTTACTTCAGTAGGATTCCCTGCAAATTTAATAGACCTAGAATTGTGCTGTGAATGGATGAATTCATGAGCTTTCATCAATTAGCATCTTTAATAGGCTAACACACACCTCTAGAGTCTGTCTGTCTGATGGGTTGCGGTTGAACAACATATTTTCCTCCGTCAGTTGCAAACCATCGTGACTCCATTTGCACAGCATGCTAAGCTTGATTAGTTTTAACCTTGAGTAGGTCTTTTGAATGCCTTTGCACATGGTACCAACTCAGCTCTTTGGATGCGTTTGTGTGTATTTTGCAAAGCTGCTAAATGGGTTAACTCAGTAACCAAGTAAGTCCCCCTCTTTATGGATTTTGGAAGTGGGCTGTGCTATTTCACTGGCCTCTCACATGTGAATTAGCATTCCTGGGAGCATTCGCATATATAGGCTCCTCAAACAGCATGCATAATATGTGCTCATCCTGTGAATGAGAGATTTAGCATATCTGTAGATGAACATGTGCCTGTGAAGCATTGTAGCTGCCCATTGTACTGGAAAGAATGCTGGTTTAAAAAAAATGCCTTCTTTCCCATTTGCATTCTGGGAGACAGTCATTAGCAAAGCAATAGCGGTTAGTTGTTTTTTTTTTCTTTTTTACCAATGAGGAGATCTGGAAGCCTCCTAATCCCGTGTGTATATTCGGATAGGACCCGCTTTCAATACACCTTGCAGAGAAAGACATTCACTCAAGACAGGCTTTGTCGTCCCATCGTGTGCTCCAAAACTGGTCCCTGAGGTTGAAAAACTGATTTATTGCTTTTCAAGATGAGTCTATAGGACCTCTGACTCATTGCTAGACCAAGGGAAATTTCAGGCCAGAAACGATGAGATCATTTCTACAATCTGGGTTTAATGGTCTTAGAACAATGTGTTAGCTGAGTATAACCCCCTTTTTATTTGTGTGTGTGTGTGTGTGTGATGTTTTAAAAGTAAAAATGTTCAAATGAACATCTAAATATTTTTAGCCTAGCCAATTGCTGGTTCATTATAAAGGGAGAGTAGTTGATGACGATGATTGAAAGAAACATGGCAAGCAATGCCACCTTTAATGGACTGTGATGCATGTCATCTTGTCCCAGACTTTCTTACCAGGCCCTGGGTGCTGCTTTCCATACCACTGGGCCCCCATGGCTGTGGGCCCCCTGACATCTGCCCTGCACTCTGATCTTAACTACCCACCCCCTGATTGCAGAAAGACCGGTGGGGAACTGTATGTGCATTAGAATGACCCACTTGGCAGCTTTCATCCCCGTTTTGCTGGGCCATCCCACAGCAGATGTTGCAAGATGTGATGCCCTCAAGGCCTCCCCAGCCCTGGCTCCTCTCTAGCCAGCAGCCTGGACCCCCAGCCTTTTGCTTCCCTGACCCCTAGCATAAAGAGTCTTCTTATCCTCCCACCCTCCTAGTTTGAACATTGTGCTGTCGTTCTTCAGAGAGGTAGCGTTTCCTGTAGGCACCCAATGTGGCTGTTCCTCCTTTGTATTTATTTCATCTGACCAGCCTGTCTACTTTTCCCCCAACCATCTCCTCCCTAGCTTGATCACTTACAACTCCCTGGAACTGATTGGGGACGACGCTTTTGTGGGACTTGTACACCTGGAATATCTGTAAGTGGGCCACGGTGGTAGGTTTGGGAAAAGAGGGGCAAGTACATCGGTGGGGACCAGGATGGGGCGGCATCAGGAACTCAGTGTCTCAAACAAGGACAGGACAGCATGTCCCCTTCCAATGGGATGGAGGAGCAGTCCTCGTCCATCCAGTCCAGCAAGGGCTACGGCGAGGGTTGATGGAATCACAGTCTATCAACATCTGGACTGCTATATATTGCAGGTAAGATGCAGAGATTATAGCTCATAAAGAGGTGGGCTTGTAGGATTTAAGAGATTGGTTTGTAACTGTGGAACTATATGGAGAAATTGCTGGAATTGTGTAAGACCAAAAGTCCCCGGGCGGGAATATATCTGTAATAAGGCATGCAGTCAGCTAATTCTGAAAAGCCTTTTCCTTTAATCATGAAACTTTCATTCCAACATCTAGAACAGTGTTTCTCAACCTTGGCAGCTTTCCGATGGGAGGACTTCAACTCCCAGAATTCCCCAGCCACCAAGGCTGGCTGGGGAATTCTGGGAGTTCAAGTCCACCCATCGGAAAACTGCCAAGGTTGAGAAACACTGATCTAGAAGGTTATACAATGCTGATCCCAGATTTAGAGCCAAATTGCCTTTTGTTTTGCGTGTTTCTTTATGTGTTAGATTAAGATGTTGCCTTTCCTCCAGAAGCAAAAGGCAATGTACATAGCGCTGGTCCTCCCTCCTGTGATATTCTCCTCACAGGGACAGCCCTGTGAGGTAGACTGAGTTGAGAAAGCTTGCCTGGCCAAAGTCACCCCATGAGCTGAGGATGGATGTTAACCCTGGACTGTCCAACATCTTCACCACTGCCCCATTCCTTTTGCTCTCTTCCCCTGAGACTTACAAGGCCTTCTCCTACTTGCCAGGTTCATTGAACAAAACAGACTGGAAGCCATCTCCAAGAATGCCTTCAGAGGCCTGAAGAACCTTCTCCATCTGTGAGTACTTCATGGGCACCTTCCCAGTTCCTGTTTGGACTCGGAGTTCTGACACCGTTTGCCACACAACCCCACTTACTATTTATGTATTAGATTTTTTATCCAGCCTTTATTTTTGGTCAACTCAAGGTGGCCCACAGACCTCATGCTCCCAACTCTTATTTCCCCCAAACCATCAACAACTCTGCAAGGTGGACTGGGCTGAGAGAATGGGACAGGCCTAAAGTCACCCAGCCAGCTGTCATGCCTATAAATGGACTAGAACTCACCGTCTCCTCATTTCTAACCAGTAGCTTAGCCATTGTACCAGTGTTTCTCAACCTTGACAACTTTAAGAAGCGTGGATTTCAACTCCCAGAATGCCCCAGCCAGCCATGCTGGCTGGGGAATTCTGAGAGTTGAAGTCCACACCTCTTAAAGTTGTCAAGGTTGAGAAACACTGCTCTACACCATACTGGCTCTCACTTCTATATACCACCCTCAATATCAGTCTTCCTATTTGCTGGGCAATCACCCTCTGCATTACTTAGTCCAGCTTCTGTTTCGCAAAACAAACTATCCACAGCTTTTTTTCCTCCCTTCTTGCAATAAACCTAAATTTCCACTGAAATAATTAATCTGGGTTTGGGCTGCAGCTTTTCAGATGGCATGCCTTGGTTCCCATCTCATGCCATGTGAATAAAAGTAGGTTTTCCTTTCCATAATGGCTGGGTTCATATCAAAGTCCGTATGCAAAACATTAGGAATGTGCAACCCTCAAGAATCAAAGGGCCAAAGATGCTGCAGAGCACGGAGGGGCACCCACACACGGCCACCAAATGTCTTTTCCCAGGATTGTGTGTCGGCTGCATTAAGAAGTTGCAGACAGGTGCTCTGTTGGAACCTGCTCCTTCTTGGAAGCACCTTTTTGCCTTCAGATTCAAAGGGTTACATAGGGCTACGAATCAGATTAAGACGGTCTGGGTTGAGTCCAAATCTGCAAGAGGCTGGTAGCAGTGTCCCAAAGCCCTGCCCCTTTTGTACAGGAGTTCCCACAGCCATACTTTAGCATGCTTGAACTTGGAAGTTGGGATTCACGCAATACACCCCTTTGCCTGCAGTTTGCAAGCCACCATTGCTAGCTTCACATCTATTCAGCCCAATCCAAGCAAATCGTATTGTGGTTCAATGCAGGGTTTCCCAGATTTGGCCATTTCTGGATGGGTGGATGTCAGCTCCTAGAATATCCCAGCCAGTGTGACCCTTGCTGAGCCTTCTGGGAGTTGAAGTCCACCCATCTGGAAGTTGCAAAGGTGGAAGCACTGGCCTAGTGCAATGTCTCATTGGCAATTTAGCTTCAGACAGCAAATACTTTGTTTGGCTGAAATCCCCTTATTATCCCAAACGCTCCTTCATTTGCCACCACACAACACAGGGCATGTTCCCAGACCTGCCAACTTCCTTTAAAGGTATTGTTTTTCCTTTCCATTCTCGCAGGAATTTAGCCAACAACAACTTGCAGACCTTACCAAGGCACCTCTTCCGAGGTTTGGATTCTTTGACTTCAGTGTAAGTTGTGGGTTCAGGAAAAGAAACAGGAGTATGATTTTGGATTCAGAGGATGTTGTTACTCAGCCTCCCTTCCACTGTTGGTCATTAGTGCAATCAAAGGACACAGGTCCTTTCCATATTCAATCCAACCAGCTTGAATATCACATATTCCAGATGGTTGGAGATTATATATCAGCCGTCCAGTGGCTTTTAGATGGCTTAGACCACAACTCCCTATCACCGAAAGGAGCATAAGAATTGTGGTCCGTTACATCTGGAGGGTACTAGGTTGGAGGAAGTTGATCTTTAATCTCAATCCATGCATCTTGTTTGAAGGGAATGAAATATTAGGGGGTTCCTTGCTATGCTGCGTGGTACAAAAACTTCCATCGTTTAAAACCAAGGATAGTTTTTAACATCTTAGGTGAGTTTTCATACTTGCCCTGAAAGAGGTGGATTGGAAGTGTCGCCCCAAAGTGTAGCTTTTGAGAGCTTTTGTACTAGGTTGGTTTAACAGAGATTTTTTAGAAAGGAAATAGAAGTCCACCAAAAATTGTATCATCAAATTTTGATGGCCTAACCTGAAGATTCTCCAGGGTTGCCCAGGGTTTGAGGGCTGCGCATTTCCCATTTTTGACTTAGAGCAGTGTTTCTCAACCTTGACAACTTTAAGATGTGTGGACTGGCTGGGGAATTCTGGGAGTTGAAGTCCACACATCTTAAAGTAGTCAAGGTTGAGAAACACTGCCTTAGAGGAAGAAGACAAGGGTGTGAATAGTGGCAAGAAAGATGGGCTAGCAGAAGAATTAACCAACCCCTCCCCCAAGTACTTGAAGCATGGAAAGACATCCCACTCCCACCCCCAAAGACATGAAGCTAGCCCTGGGTGAACATTGTCCAGCCACCCTCCCCTCCTGATGGTCACCAACCAACGTCTTTCTCAACAGGGACTTGCGGGGAAATGCTTTCCACTGTGACTGTAAGCTGAAATGGCTGGTGGAATGGTTGAGCCACACCAACGCCTTGGTGGAACCCATCGAGTGCCACTCACCGTCTGAGCTGAACCGCACCAGTCTCAGCGAACTGCGCCCTGGAGGTTTCAATTGCATCACCACTGGTATGTCATCCTTGGTCCTATGGATTCCCACCAGCGAGGAAGGACTGCCAGCCCTACCATGAGTCAAAGAGGGGGAGCTGTCTGAGTCAGCAAGTTTTATTATCCTGGAAGGGTCAGCCAAATGGGATAGCTATTTGCTTTGCTTTAATTATAGTTTTCCTAACGGGAAGAAGAGAGAGATGTTTGCTCTTATCTTGCTGTTCTGATGATAGGGCGTTTTCTGTCCCAAGGATCAAAAAAGACTTTGGTTGATGTTGGATTGTAGATCTTTTGACTCGCAGGGAGAGGTTCTTATCTGCAGGTTTGATTTAAGCAGCCGGATGTCTTGGGTTGACTCCCCTCTCCTTATTTAGAGAATTTATAGCCATGGAAATGGAAGAAGTTTGAATTAACCTCATAAGGGACCAATAGAAAGATTATAGATTCATCAGCGATCAGATGGAAGTGGTTTGTGGTTTGTGAATACTTATCAAGCTTCTATCTCACTAAGGCAGTATTTCTCAACCTTGGCAACTTTAAGATGTGTGGACTTCAACTCCCAGAATTCCCCAGCCAGCATGGCTGGCTAGGGGATTTTTGGGGTTTAAGTCCAAGCATCTTAAAGTTTTCAAGGTTGAGAAAAACTGCCCTAAGGAATGGGGCAGTTCCATTCTAAACCAGTGATATCGTTCAGATGTGTTGGAGAATCTGGGAGTTGAAGTCCACGCATCTACATCTTGTGGCCAGCAAAATGGGGAAATTTGTTGTAGACA